CTGCGCTCGTTCACCCGCGTTAGTTCCTCGTTGTCGTGACGGTGAACATCGGTTGCAGTCACCACTGCAAATAATCAAAGTAATCGATCGCGCGCACAGCTCGCGATGTTTTCTTCCGAGTTTTCTTCCCGTTCTAAAGCGGTTCCATCCAAAGATACCGCCAACATAATTCATTACATTTGCGAGAATACACGCGCATGCTAAATCAATGTGAAGAATTTACGGTTGGAATTAAAGTATATTAATCACTCTATATATCGTTAAATTTTTCTTCTCATGTTAAAATGAAAAGGCACGATGTCTTAAAGATTAGATAAAGATAATGCGAATCGAATCGAATGGAATTTGTCAGTATTTTCTAGTATTATATGATCTGAAGAAACTCGTGAATAAACATCATCAGGTGTTGCTTCCAGACTGATTTGTATCAAAATTATATTGCAGATTGAAGATTAATGAAGAATGTTGGGAACGAGCTCAAGGAAATTCTAGAAGACTTTGGAAGTGAACGACTGGCAGGCGGCAAGTCACGTAAAGAAGACGTGTCTGGCATCCAAATTTGAAGCTTGCGTCGCGCGCTGAGTGGTGCGCGGCGAAAATTGCAATGACACAGTACATTTAGCAACGGTGAATCCAATTCTCACTTTTGCAAGAATAAATATAATTGATTAAAGAAAATGTTCTTACATTTGCGCCAATGTCGACCATTTACGAAAAATAAGAAAGGAAACGATCGAGTGAAAAACATAGCAAAATTCATCAATTTTAGAAATTTCCCTTAATTGTGGATGTGAATTATTAATTGTTATAATTAAAATTAATTGTTATACATCGACAATTAATTATGATTGTAGAATTAAATTTAAATTAGCTTCGAATATGTTGATGAATGTTGAATTTGCAGTGAACCACAATTTTCAGCGACATTTCAAATACTGCACCACAAAAGAGCGCGTACTCTCGGTTATTAATAAACATAAAAATGGGAATTCGTTATGAAGAAGCATGCAGCTCCAGAAACACGTTTCAGTTGCATCCCACTCACGGCGTTACACCGGAGGCTCGATTCAAGGTGATGCGCGGCTGGTACGCAAAGTGCGGCCGGATGCACCGGCAATAATGTATCCGCTATCAAATGACTTTGTCCTTCGATACTAGTTCGCTTAGATTCGCCTAGCGAAAGTCACGGGGACGATCGCAGGCGTGATGGTATCGGCAACCTAATAAGAGAAACATGTTCCATTACAAGCAACCTTCCACTCTGCAGTTCCTCAAGATCAACGTACGACCTCTACCGCGTTCGTGGGAGATCGACCAGACGCAAAGGAATTTTTATAGAGGCATGGCGCAATAGGAGACTATAGGCGAGATATAATCGCGAAAAAATAAACGGTATTAGAAGAAAAAAAGATTTATCAAGCTCGGATTGCAGCATATTCAAAAATTCAAGATCTAATAAAAAACACTGGAAAGAAATTAAATTTTAAATAAATCATTTAAATGTCAGAATTATAATAATCAATTCGATTTCGAATTTCAACGATCTCTGCGATTGCACGTACACGGATAAACAGCAGTCGCAATCCGACTCATATATGTAGAAAGTTTTGCGTGGGCCAATGTGCGTGGGTGGACTGGCCTTCAAAGTCCTTCGCTGAAAAAGACCAGGATCGCTAAGCGCGTAGGCTTCCGGTGGGAGGATTAAATAAAAAGCATCTGCCATTATACATAACTGTATCTATCGATTTACGGAGAAACTAATCTCATATGAACGTCTCTGCATCCTGTAAACTGTAATTATTCAATATATATTACACCTGCAGAATACCTTATAGCTGATGTATATAAAAAAATATATATGCGGAAAAATATACATTCAAATGGAAAAGTTTAATGTACTACTTGCAGATATTACATGAAATAACCGTAGCACATTAAATAAAATATACATTATAACATGTCTTATTCTTATATTCATTATCAAATAGGGGAAATGGGAAGAATATATTTTATTATAAATTTAATCCGTTCCTATTTTATTTGTTAGATTTGTTCCTATTTGCTTTTCTTTGCTCTTTTCGCTTCTCTTTCTCTTTAGCATCGTGGACACGCCTCTTCTTTCGCAAGAGCCAGATTTCTTTAGCTCTTTCTTCTCGACCTTTCATCATACTCTGGTACAATTTACGGTGTTTCTTTTTAATCATCTTTTCTCTGAGACGGTACTCCTGCTTCTCCAGTCGGGCTTTCTCCCATGGAATTTCTTTCATGATCTCACCAGTCTGTACCTTCATCTTCTTCTGCAAGTTTATAAATATTGATAACAAAAATCAATTTTCTTTAGATTATTTCAAGAGATAATATAAAAAACTGTAATAACAAAACCTTTTGTAACTGAGCTTGTTTCTTCATTTTCTCTTTCTCTTTTTCTGTAGCAATCCGTACATCATTATCGTCATCTTCTTCTTCCTCTTCCATTTCCTCATCGCTTCCTGAACTCAAATCGTTCTCAGTTTCAATTTTCTCTTCTTTATTCTTGTTTTTATCTTCTTTTTCTTCTTCTTCTTCATCTTCTGAATCTGCTTCCACTAATCGAGATCAAAAATATAAATTAAATAGAGAATTTTATGTATAACTTCAATATACTCATCCAAAATCAAAGTCATACAATTGTTTAGTTTATAATCAGGATCCATGAGAGCACGCTCTTCTGGAGGAATGTATGTTTGATCTTGTCGACCTTCTGTAAATGGTGAGAGATGAGGAGGAAGTACAGCACCCATTAAGTATTTTTCTATAGGCAATAATTCTCTTGCGTTCACACTGTCAAAAACCCACTGTGGCTGTACATAATATCTATAAATAAAAATTATATTAATAATTCAGAAATGTTATATACACAAAAATAATAAATTAATATAAAACAGATATAGTACCTCGATATATATTGTTTAATCATGCTTGGTCTATCTACAATCTGATGAGTTATTGTTTCGTCATTCTCATCAAAAGTAGCTCCGACGAAGAGTAACTTATCCCAAGATACTTCTCCGCCAAAGCAACGTAAAATAAATACTAAAGGCTCTCTAGGAACCTCTCTATTAATAAAAATTTTTATGCCTTTGAATAAATTTTTCAGTTTCCCTATTTTTTCAGCTTCTGCCTTAGCAGCTTCTATCTTGGCAGCGTCTGTCTCCTAAAAAGCATAATCAATAATGTATTAGATTTTATATGTATAAAATTACCGAATATAAAATTAATGAAACATTTTAAACTTACATTTGAAAATTGATCTATTTCAATATTGTCATCCTCAATTGTTGGAACTGAAGAATCCAAATTGACTAACAAAACATTCAATGCACTTATTCTCTCCGAGACATATGTTTTTTCATCAACTAGCACTTTATCAATATTTTCTGTATAATAAAATATTTAATTTTATATTTGAATGAAGTTTCATATTTCAAATAATAATATATCAATAATTTACGTTAATAATCTTACTCACCAGAATTTGTCAATTTGGGAGGATAATGTAAATTCAAAGTATGATACAATCTGTAATTTACAAAACCAAGCATTACAATGTAAAATTCTACAAATGTAGACATGACCTTAAAGTCAACCTCGTTCTTTGCTTGAGGTTCGAAACAAAAGTGATGCGGCACTATCCAAGTTATTGTTTGCCCTTTTATCTCTGCCTGATAGTAATATCCTTTAATGGATACAAATACTTTTCGCAGTGCTTTGGCAGCGATGACAGCATGAAGAAATTCAATTGTTAATCTCCTACACAGTAATGACTGATCTCTCGGTATATGAGGCAATGACGGAAATGTACTGAATAAAAAGCAGAGAGTTAAACAATCATCTAAATCACGCAATGCATCTATGAATGTTGGATAACGCTCCTTAACTATATGATCTATCTTTAATGTAGGATGGTTACTCAAATATCTCTTTACTTTGGCGAAATCTTTCATTGCCTTTGCTCGTCCAATTTTTCTATTAAAAATCTGAAAATAAATATTTATATAGCACAATATAAATATTTGATTCCAATAAGTTGTTATACCTTATAATCTCTTAATTTCCATATGATTGGTTCGTGCATCAAAAATTGAATATCCTTTTTGTGATATAAGGTTTTAATGCCGGGTTCACCTTTCTGTGCTCTTTTACGGTTGCGTGGCTCTCTTGGGTATATGCCTTTCAATATACATAACTTACGAAAATCATTTAGTGTTAATTGTAATTTTCTAAGAGCAGCTCTCCTCGTCATAAACTGTGCTCCCTCACCACTCTGATACTGTAAATTTTGAAAATATCGACTTTAATTCTTAAGAATGTCGTTCCATTGGATTTCCGTAAAAATTTTAGCATAACCTTGTCTACTCATAATGAGATGTATTATATGAAAGATTTAAAAATCCACTCACTTTCTTTTTACCTATTACAACCATCGTGATGCGTTTTGTATTTAATACCTAAATATTAAAAAAATACGCGCCGACACATGCAAAATACACAAGAAATTAAACACACCCCACGTGCAAAATGCTCCAACTCTCGTAAAGAGTTGAGACTTTTTCCTATTACCGTCGAAATCGCCCGTACATTACCGCCAGTACATCCATTTTCCGTTTGAGAACTACATGACTACGTCTATTTTCTGACACTGTCGATAAAATTGTATCGTCGAAAATGTATGTGGTTCGTGTCTGTACTACGTCCACAGGATAAAAGCATGCCGACTTCCCTCCACACGACATTTTGTTCACACGATATATATACATCATATATGTGCATAATTTCTGTTTCAATACTTATACACCGAAATAGCAATACGTACAAGCGATTTTAGGGCACGAAGTATCTTTAAAAATGGAATTTCTTTAAATTACAACGTAATTTAAATTAAAATGCAAAACTTCTACGCTTGGAAAATAAATAAAAAAATTACTTTTTCTTTTTATTAGTAATGATATTTTTAACTGCGCACAGCACAAATATATACAAAATTGTTATCATGATTCTAATCTTCTTCTGAGTCGCTATCATCCTCGCTTTCGTCTTCCAGTTCCGGCATGGGAAAACGTAATAAAGCTGCTACCCCAGTTAATTGATCTAATTCTGAAAAGAAAATCATAATTTTATTTTAATACAAATAAATTTATTAGGACACAATAAATAAGTTTTTTTATTAAGCACTTTACTTTTAAAATTTCAGCTGAATCATTTGTATCGTTTATATATATAAGACTTACGTTCACCCGAAACATGTAGACTCGAAAATATTTTGACGTCACCACCCGAGTCTTTCACGTTTTCAACCAGCTCAACATATTCCTTTCTCTGTGCTATGTCTTGACATCTGAACAGATTTGACAAAAGTACAAGAGAAATATTATAAAATAAAATTAATTATAAAATTAATATTGCAACAAGTAACAAGATTAAGAAAATCACCTGAATAATTTATCTGATATAAGCAGAGTTTCTACTGCTTGAGCAGCACTGGCTTTTTCAACATGTTTCTTGCCATAAAATGCTCTAGCAGGATCCATTTGAAGAGTATTGTAAAATACCTCTAAAGCCCTTACTTCTCCTGTTGCTTTGGTATCAGAAATTCGAGAAACTACAGCAGGATCAGCTAGAACCTCTGTTACAACGATGAATTAGAATAAATATAAAGATAATGACACTTTTCAAATATTATGTTCATTCAGATTTCATAGATATCTATACAGTACCTTTTAATGAATGTTTAAAACCCGAACTAGAGTGAACTAGCAAAAATTTACTTTTATTATCTAAAATAATTTTATTATCAGATTTGACAGCTTGTTGTATCATATAGTCCATAAATTGATCTTTCACAAAACCAGGACTAGCAAGGATAACACATTTCACTAGATCGAAATTGATGTGCCTTAATATGCCTTGCATAATACTCTCGTAAAAACGTGTCAAACCCTAAATATATATCAAATTAGCAATTTCGTTTAGGTTCATCCATACAAAACATTGTTTATGTTGACATAACGTTTCTCAAACCTTTTCGTGTTGTGATACGTTTCCTTTCCTTTTCCTTGGTATAACTTGATCAATTTTCACACGGACTATTGTCATGTTGGAAGTTATCAAACAAATTTGTGCTATGCCTTCTTGCATAATAGCAGCGGCTACATCAGCATTCTAAAACAAAACAAAAGAGAGCATTATAATTAAATATATAATCTTTGTTTTGAAAAAGCATTAACCTGTGCAGGGTCGCATGCAGTATCAACTCTTTCCAAAGAAATAGAATCCCATTTAGCTTTAGTAATACTAAATTTCCGATTTTGTTCAACATCCAATGTATGATATGCTCCTGTCTGTAAAATAAAAAAGCAATATAATTATAAATAATTATCTGTTATTAATTTAGTATTTAAAGCGATAATTGGTGTTAAGTATGCATACAAATAAGTATATAAAAGAATAAAATAAGATCCCATCATTGAAACTATTATTTTGGATAATCCAAAATGCATTTAAGAGAAACAATTCTTCTAATATAATGCTAATACAATACGAATACTTTAATAATGCAAATAATAATATCAATAAACATTTTCATTTAAAATTTAAAAAATAAACAATTTACAAGCTTAAACAATTGAAAAGCAAATACAAATATAACAGAGCTAAGCTGAATGAAATTGCTAATAAAATCTTTATGACTGTGTTCAAATACAAATACACAAAATAGATTATAAAAACATATAAACATCACATTTTAATCTACAGAAATCATCTTTAGTAAAGGAAAATTTTATTTCTTATAAAGATTAGAAGGATATTTATATATATGCGACTGTATTATTAACTTAAAATTTCAACCTTACACCGTACACCAAAGATGAAAATTTAATATCATCATTTAACTTACTTTAACATACTTATTTTCTTCCACGTTTCTACCTTTAAGTCGTAAAACACATGCTTGAGTATCAAAATCAATATTTTCTACACATATTGTTAAAGTAGTTCTGACTCTATAACTGTTAGAGCTACCAGTTGCCGATTCCATTTGCACTTTTCTAGAAAAAAGTGAAAAATAAAATTGACAAGATGATATTGATTAAAAGTAAATGAAATATGTATTATTATCTAAGAAATATAAAACTTGAATATACCTGAAAGTAGAACAGCTTACGAAGTCTCCTTCGCTAATGAGATTATAGGCATGCCACATATCCTCTGTATTTTCAGGGACAAGAGACACACGCCTAAAGATTACATTAAATTTTGTATTTAATCTGAAGATTATATTGGTACATCATAAAGATTATATTATATATCACATATAAAATATATATTTACCCTTCTCCATCCTTATCTACATTCCTTGATACTAGCTTCATTTTCAAGTTATTTTTGTCTTAAATATAAAAAAACATTTTATATAAACATAAAACATCATAAATGTAAGAATTTCATGAATTAAATTTAATATAAATGTGCATTTCCATAAAAAATTTATATCACATAAAAAAATATATATGACAAGAAATTTAACATGCCTCTGAAACTTATTAAGAAACAATATGATTATATATTGTGAAAGAACAGCAAACTCGTATAGGTTAAATCATAATATCTCATTTAAAAACATCGAGGAGTCAACATAAAGTCAAGAGTTTACCTTTACATTTATTGCACGATTATATCTTTAGGAACATTATTGAATTCGTGTTTTCTTTATTCGAAGCGTTGTACAACGAATTATGCCATATGTCAAACATGATACCTCTTGATACCTCTCGCTTTTCGATCGGCGATTATTCGCAACAATCGCAACCTTCCAAACCTTCGTAACGTAATTGGTAGATAATCTCAAATTTACCTTCTACAGATGGCGCTATTCGTATACTTGTATTTCATTTCAATATATGTATTTATTTTCTTGTTTCTTATTTGTATGCATGTATATATATATATATACACACACACACATACACATATATAATAATAATATAAATATATTAACTTATTATTAATAGTATTTTTTATAACAATTCATATTATTATATGTAATTTTTATCTCCTAAGTATTTACATAATATAAAGTTATATCGAGATATATGTATATTTGTGTAACAGATATTAATTTTTCTTTTATACATACATACAGTAAACTTAATGCATTAAAAAAATGGCATAAAATATTTTAGAAAAATTTCGCAAAACATTTTATTGCAAAATTTGAAATATTTCAAAAATTTTTTATGAAATATAATATATTTGAAATAAGTGTATCTAGGAAATCAGTTTTTGAAATATTCTTGTTCTCACAATATTTGTACAATATGTTTAAAATATTTTTATGAAGTATCATAACGCGATATTTTAAAATATTTCACAAATTATTATAAAATATTTCTGAAATATTTTAAAATATTTCAAAAAATGATTCACATAAATATTTCATACTGTGTGGGTAAGTTTTTGAAACTTTCATAATAGAAACTAGTAAATAATTAATCTGCCTTTCAGCTTAAAAAAAAAAAAGAAAACGGATCATATAGTTACGTTAAATTGATTCAACGTGAATAAATTAAAGATTAATTTCACATTACACAATAATATTAAAATAATTAAACTTTACAGACTCATTTAAACATTTTCGATAATTTCTCTTTTTGTATACTATCTTTTTCTTTAATAGCTACTGCAAATGCCTGTAACTCCTTTTCGACAGTATTGTGTAGAGAAGGCTCGATTTCAGCAGCTTTCTTTAAATCTTTAAGAGCATTTTTTTCGTCCCATGCACCAATGTATGCTTTACCTCTTCGATAAAGGGCCTTTATATTATCTGCAAATAAAAAGCAAACTTAATAGTATTTTAGTGATATTATTTTTACGTAACTTTACCTAACGTTGTCCTATATTTATTATATATACCTGGCTCTGTTTTTAGAACTGTTGTACAATGTTCAATAACAGAATAATACTCTTTATTTAACAGTTTACATTGTGCATAATTTAAAAGCAATGGTGTCTTCATTTGATTCAAAGTTAACCATTCTTCGTCATTTGGTTTTTCACTAAAATCAAAATCAGTTTATTTATACTATATAATATAACCATATATATTGTTTGTCTTATAGACTAATCTCTTTCAATTGCAATATATCTCTTCATAGGCAGAACTCACGCTAGCATGAGTTGTTCCAATATTCCAATAGCCTTTGCATATATTTCAGATGCGTTGTCATATTTTTTTTCTTTAAATAAAGCGTTTCCTTTTTCCTTCAAATGTGGAATACTTTCCAGTTTCTCATTTTCTGTCATTTGCCACGATTCTTTCTCGTATTCATTTGGCAATACCACTTTAATAAGTTCTGTAAAAAATACAAGTTTTTTTTTATTAGTCCTGCTGTTTTATAACATTTTAGGTTTGTTTAAAACTATATTTTTTATATTGTAAAAGAAGAGAAATAAATGTAGAAAATCATGAAAAGTGTAAAGACTTTTGCATTAAGTTTTAACAGAGTATACAATATTTTATATTTATACCTATTGTAAATTCCAGATCTTGAGGATATTTTATAAGTTCGTCCAAATCGGCATAACCAATACCTTCATTTTGAAGAGTAACACCACAGCAATGGTGATTACGTTTCTGCGACTGAGGCTTGCCAGCCTCTCTTAATGTCTTAGAGACAAAAGGATATGTAGTCACTAGCTAAAACAGGATTCATCATAAAAATATATTCTACATAAACACAAAATTGTAACAATAAATATTGCAAACATACACTTTTATGCACTTTGAAACAGGCAACTTCGTTCAATGCCATTTTTTGTATAATTACTTCCCATACTTCCAATTTAAATTTTTTCCCCAATATAAGTTCCATTGGATTTCCCATTTTCCTACTGTCATCTATCACTGTTTTGTCAAAATCGTATTTTGTAGTTCTAAAGTGAAAAATAACCTAAAATAAAATCAATTATAAATAATTGTTCATAACAAAGTTTATAAATAAATATCTTGTATAATTTAAAAAAAAACAACAGATATACATACCTTTGTTCCTGGTATATAATTAATGATTTCTGATCCAGCATGAAGAACAGTTTTCACAATATATTCGTCATTCATGATATTTATGTATTTAGATTCTATAATGAATATTTAAAAAATGAAATATTTTATTCTTAGCAGATACTTTCCGATATCTGATTATTAAGCAACAAAATGTTACAACTGTACTCGCACATTCTATGTCATCACAGCAATTTTAAGTAATAGTACATTATGTGAGAAAATAGATTCATAACCTCAATAATTTATTTAAAGAATACAATGTAACAATTCTTCAACCTTATCTATAAAGTAAATGATGATATATTTTTTTTTAAATGACTTACAATATTATTGTTGTCACTATGTTATAATCACGATTGTCAAGAAATATGATTAAACAAAACTTACGTACACAACGCGTTATCAGATTTGACATACAAATTGTACAAATGGCAGATATCCTTAGCTACCGAACAATTATTGGCTACGTTTACACCGTGCGCTTAGTTTGCGATCTAAACGATAGGTGTCTTTGTTTAATAAACAGGCTAAACAAGGACATCTATTGTATAGGCCGCGGCCTAAATGCACGGTGTAAACGTAGCCACTGGGTGCATTCAGTTAGAGTGGGTATAAAGAGAGTGAAGCCAATCCTGGTTCTCCTTCCTGATTGATTCCGCCATTTTACGATTAACTGTTAGTTAGAGGAAGACGACGTTAGAAAAAGAAAAGGTTAGGATGAGGAATTACGTCATAAATATTTGTCGTAAAATGGCGACTTCCGGTTAATTGGCTTCACTCTCCTTATACTCACTCTACATTCAGTGCTCAGTGAGCACTTGTATCTTATTGGCATATTCCGTTAGAACTAAAAATATAGACCAAATAGATACAAGGGATACATTCAGTATATTCATATTTTGATCGATACGCTTTTATGATGTATAATCATTATACATCATAAAAGCGTATCGATCAAAATAAGTTATAAAATCATTTAAATGTAAAGAGTGATTTTTTTATTTAAATGTAAACAGTCTGCTTGGTGGGGAGAGAGTGTGTGAGAAGAGGAGAGGTGTGCCGCGTAACGGCCCATGACTAGTATATTTCGTAACACACATGATGTAAGATTTAAACATATAGATGATTTGAGACCAGCTCGATTGTGTTATAGATAAATATACAGTTGATATCGCACATTTCTTTCAATTTCTTTACGATCATTGGGTGCATTCAGAAGCGACGACCACTCATTGAGTAAAAAAGGGATTAATCTTTGATTAATATAGGTCTGTTCGCGTTGCTTACACTTTTGGCACTCGACATCTTTGCTTTCTCTCTTTTCAAGGCCAAATATATATCTATCTCATTTTAAGTGCAAAAATATTTGGGGATTTCATGCAACGCGAACAGACCTTATGTTTATTTGTTATGTAAAATTACTGCTTATTATTTCTTTAATGCCGTGTTTGGGCCGTAAGATTATGGATGCGTTCCGAGTTACGTATGAAGCGCATGATGCATTATTTGTCCTTGTTCACCAAGAAGAATAAAACGATACATCACGCGCTTCATACGCAACTCGGAACGCACCCTATGTAGCGCTCAATGGCTACGTTTACACCGTGCATTTAGGCCTATATAATAGATGTCCTTGTTTATCCTGTAGGTTAAACAAAGACACTTATCGTATAGGTCGCGAACTAAGCGCACGGTGTAAACGTAGCCAGTGAGCGATGGAGCGACTTTTAATTACGCTCCACCGCTATATAACTTATATAATAAACTAATAAATAAGTAAGGAATATGATATTAAAGATTATCGATAATAGACAAGTTATTTTACATTACGAATTATAACAAATAAATATATTAATCACAGATTAATCCCTTTTTTATTCATTGAGCGCTCAGTGAACGGTCGTCGCTTCTGAATGCACCCATTGACACGTGATTGTTCTCATTCTCTCTCTCTCTTTCTCTCTCTCTCTTTCTCTCTCTCTCCTCACGCGCTTTACTTTTTTTTTGCATCCTGTTTCTTGAAATACGGAAATGAATCGATTTAATAATATATTGCTCGAATATGCATGTATTACATATACACAAAGGAGCTGACCAATCGTGCGTCTAAACGCGAAAATCACAGTCATGTTGGTCATGTCAGGTCATGTTCTAAAACATTAGATGCGCGATTGGTTCGTTTCATGGCTTGTCTATCTAACGTTACACACAGCTACACGAGCTACGTTCGGTATATTATATATTCGTATAGCGGTATGGGAGCTGGTCAATTGCATGAGTCCTACCGTTTTTTCTCAATAGAATTATTGAGCAAATACCGACGATTATACTCTATAAATAAAAACCAAGAGAATAATCACTCCTTTTTTTAATCGAATTCTGAAATATGTGCTCGTCATCGGTAGTGATATATATTTAAGAAGTGATGATTACGAAATCGTCGCACTCGAAGAGAAACAGGTGACGAGAATAACGTTCTCTCTCTCGAAGACAGATTCACGGCAATTACAGGTTATACCTTCAAATACATAAATATGTGAGTTTTCTAAAAAAAAACTCGACGATGGATCTCTCGTACCATATGCTCATTGAAAAATCCAGCTTTCGTAAAATTTATGTCCGTGAGATTATGTTCTTTCATTCGGATGATGATCAACGATTTTCCTTTGCAGCTTTACTGACGAAACACGTAGGATCCGCGGGTTTTCAAGAGTTTCAAGCAAACATCAGCTGTTGACATGGATGCCAAGGAGAAAAAGAACTTAGCCGAAGGAACTGCGAATGGATACAAGAAAGAAGGTTAATTCTTTAATGCTACCATCTTACGTATTTAAAAGTATTTTTTTGCAATAATTGGAAAGCACTTTTTTGCAGATGTCAAGGAAATACAAATACCGATGCCATGGGGCCACGTCAGAGGTTAGTATAGTCTGATATCTTTCCTAATTTGCGTCTTTTTTACCTAATTTATTCAAAAACAATAGCTGCGTTCGGAAACGTCGCTCGGATACCTCCAATGCCTCGGATTCATTATCTGTCACATTAATGTTAAACGAGGAGATGATGAATCTGAGGCATCGGAGGTATTCGAGCGACGTTTCCGAACGTAGCCATTGTAATTATATCAGCCTTGTATTATGAACTTATATCAAGGCTATGTTTCCATTTTCATTATCAATACTGAAAATCTATAGCATATGTGTATTACAGATAGTACAGATTTTTGATATGAAATATGTGTTATAAATTTTCAATACTAACAATAAACTTTGTCAGATGTTATACTTATAAATGTCAAACACATCCCATATATATATATAATATCGCCTGAAGATATAATACATACTTAGATTAAATAGCAATTAAAGACACGTTGTGCATGTCTCTCAACAAATGTCACATTGAACTCAATGCATTGATAAATTTAGGAAAATGGTGGGGACCGGCAAATAAGCAGCCTATAGTGGCAATACATGGCTGGCAGGACAATTCAGGAACTTTTGACAAGTTGGCACAATTATTGTCAAATAATATAGCTATACTGAGTATAGATCTGCCTGGTCACGGCATTTCTTCTCATCTACCACTCGGACAGTTCTACTATCTATTTTGGGATGGGGTTCTTACACTACGTAGAATTGTTAAATATTACAAGTGGAACAAGGTTAGCTAGCGAGTCAATGTTATACAACGATTTAAATCTTTTTCTTTTATAAATTATAAATATAACAGTAACATGTGAAATAGACAAGAGCATGGGTTTTATATGCTTTATTTTGCAGAAGTTAAATGCATAACTTAAGAAGTATGTGATCTATTTATATTATGTATCATTACCAATTACTTAATTTGCATATTTTTAATTTAGAATATTTGTACATTTTGCAATAGTATTTATATGTTATGTTCAATATGGAGGTATGACACATTATTACATTTGTTATTTAATATTCATATTGCTTGTACCTGGTCATATCATAATTAATAAAAAAACATTAAAAAGGCTGACTGTTATATATGGCATAATATATATAACAAATATTAAACTTAATACTAATAATAGCACGTTAAGAAACACTATACGTTATTTAAAATCATCGTTGTATAACTGCATATTATGTATTACATCGTATCCTCGAGTAATAGACGAAAAAAGCTTTTAAACTCAGCTGTAACTTTGTTGCATTTAAAAAAAAAATGTAGGATTTTTCTCTTCTCATTTAACAAATTGTTACAAATTTATAACAGCAAGATCTGTGTTCTGTTGAAATGTCAATTTGGAGAAAATAAAATAAAATAAAAAAATAATTATAGAACTCTTACCTGCAGGCAAATGGTGGGGTCCTAGTGAGCTCCAACCAATACTGGCACTACATGGTCGCCAGGATAATTCAGGCACTTTTGATACATTAATGCCATTGCTGTCGAATGACGTTTCTGTTCTTTGCTTGGATATGCCAGGGCATGGTTTATCTTCACATTATCCAAAGAGTCAATTCTATTATGTGTATTGGGATGGTGTCATATTACTTCGTAGAATTATTAAATATTTCAAATGGAACAAGGTTAGCGAGTGGATAAAATCCACTCTATTTACAATTGAGATGAACATCCAGTATGGTGCTTATATGTTCTCACACATATCTAACAGTCATCCTTGCTTTCACTAAATTGCATTTATATTTATGTTTCACTTAACATACTGCATGATGATGTTTTTTTATATATGTGAAAATTATGTTAATGTAAATATTTTACATACATAACCAGTGTTATGTTTTATGTTAAATATTTATGTATATAGAATAACTTAGTAATGCGTAAAAGATATATATACAATATTGTGCAATATTTAATATATACTATATGCTGTATATCTACTAATTATAAGTTAATATAAGTTCGTTATAACTTGATTGTATTATGGAAATAGGTTAAACTTCTTGGGCACTCATTGGGTGGTGCTATATCATTTCTGTATGCAGCATCATATCCAAATGAAGTCGATTTTCTTATAAGTTTGGATATTGCTAGTCCGAGCGTAAGGGATGTCAAGAAAACAGCTGCAAGCACCGGAGAATATATTGACAGATTTTTGAAATATGAATTATTAACATTGGACAATGTACCATCTTATGAATATGACGAAATGTTGAAAATAGTAGAAAAAGCATATGATGGATCTATAACAAAGGAAGGAGCAGAAATATTAATGAAACGTGGTATGCAGCCAGCGTATAAAAAGGACAAATATTATTTTTCTCGTGATCCAAGATTAAAGGTAAAAGAATTATGCAATATGTTTTATTTGGCAAGAGATAATATTGTAGATTTTTAAGATTCAAAGAAGTATGATAATGTTATTTAAAATTATTTATGTTTTTTTAGGTTTCCCTTTTAGGTCTATTATCTCTAGATTTAATACTTGAATATGCATCTCAGATAAAATGTGCTTACCTCAACATCCGTGCTATTCCTGGAATGAAATTGGAACAGCCTGAAAATTATCAGAAAATATTAGACATCATAAAAGTAGGAGCTAGAAAATTTGAGTATCATGAGGTGACAGGCACGCATCACGTACATTTGAATGAGCCTGAAAAAATTGCGCCTATAATCAAGAATTTTTTACAAATTTAATAGTAATATTATTTAGTTAAGTATATACATACTAATGAATATTATTTAGTTAAGTATATACATACTAATGAATTCAGTTACTTAAAATAATTTTGTGAAAAATGGATATATAAAATTCTTTATCTGAAATGTATAGATTAACAAAAAATTGTATTTATGTTCGATACATGTATGCTTGCATCTGCACATATATATACATTGCATATGTAATTTTATTAAATTTTAAATAGCTTTATAATTTAAAAATAAATTATATATGAAAGTATCAGTACTGTGATAAGCAATAATCAAGAGATGTGTATAGATGAAAAATATATTATAAAATATGATTATTGTATTAAATTATAATAAAATGTCAAATTACAATTTCTGTCAAACATCTAGTATCGTTTTTATGAGTTAATAAATTATTTAAAGTTGGTCTCTAAAATTAATTTAATCTTTTGATATACATATAGTTTATACACATATAGGTTGGTCCATTTTAATCAATCAACTAAAATGTCTCAAAATCCTTAAGTTTAAAACAAAAATGTTTCGGATAAAAGTTGCTCAATTATTAAGGAGAAAGATGATAATAACGTTGAAAAGATGTCAGGTCAAGGATTATCTAAAATTTTTTTAATTGAAACTCCCATTTTGTATTTTATATTCATGTAGTTTCAAAACTTTTTAAAACTACAATGAAGTATTTTTTCACTAAGTAATGGGGTTACAAGTTATGGGGCTTGAAAGCTAACAGATCAACGCTTAGTTAACTCATTATCTTAAAGCAATTAAGTTTGAGATAAAGAGAAGATGAACTTAAGGACATGTTCAACTAAGATCATCTGCTCTTTATCTCAAACTTAATTGCTTTAAAATGAGTTGACTAAGCGTTGATCTGTTAGTTTTCAAGTCCCATAACTTGTAAATTACTTAATGAAAAAATATTTTATTATAATGAAGCTACATAAATATGAAATAAAAATTTTAAAAATGGAGGTTTCAATTAAAAAAAATTAGGTAACCTTGATTTGTGCTTAAATACATTCTTTTTTCAAGGTCAACCAAGATCACTATCTTCTTTCTCCTTAGTAACGGTAACTTTTGTTTGAAACATTTTTGTCTTAAATTTAAAGGTTTTGAGATATTCTAGTAAATCGATTAAAATGAACCACGTTGTATATAACTAAATCAATGCATTAGAATAAAATCACTTTACATTAATCACAATTATCCTTATATCCTTATGTAATATTAATTATTAAAAAAAAATAAATCAATGTCTACTCGATAACTTTTAATATACCATGCGGTAGAAATATTGTATTTTAATATTTAAATTTCGTTAAATTATTGAAATATATAAGAAAAACAGGATTTTATTATAGTATAACGAAATGTGTGATGTAAGTTATGCGGGTGTTATTTTTTCAAGTTTTTGTTTTACTTATGATGTGTAACACATAACTTGTATGCTTTTATTCATTGCTATAAAGAAGAAAATCAACTAAAAAATTGATTCTTTTCTCGAAATTCTTTGTCTACATGTACCAAGGACAGCAAACATTACGCGTCTATCATCCAATAAACACTAACGGCGACAATAATATATTAATATCAGACAATCAAGTAATTAAATACAACGAAGTCGCATCGGTTTGAACTCTTACAATCGGACAAATACTATAAACATAAGAAATTACGATATTCTATATCAATCTCATAAAAGTCTTTCAATAGCTTAAAGGCGTAATTCACACACGCTCTAGATAGATAATTCAAATGAGCCATACATTTTTGTGGCATCGCAAAGTCGTAGAAATAATGATTTAAAAAATCCAAGTAAGGACGTGAGTCGACAAATGCAGATACTGCAAATGTTCCTGATATAATATTTGAAATATAATACAGGTAATACAGGTACACTCACTATATTCACAATCGAGAACAGAGCGAGCGGCATTAATTTCAACCTGTACCCAAATTCTCTTCAGGCGAATGTTGTATATATATATAGATTTTTCTAGAAATGTGCTAATTTTTATTTTACTCGATTTCGAAAAAAATCAATTTAAATTAATTCAAACGTTAATTTATGGATACATCTGTGTAGAGTGTTACAAATTATATGATATCAAGATAATAAGGCTATTGATACAGCTGTTGCGGACATCATAATAGTCAAAGTAAGAAGTCACAGCGTTATTCCGTTTACTCAGTTGCTACAACTATATGCCACGTAGAAATATAAAATTAAACTCCGAAAACGCATTCATCAGGTTTCGTGATGCCTTCCAGTCTTTTTGAATTTTCTGCGACGTGTATAGACCGTTTACACGTTGCTCGCAATTAACGTGTTTTTCAAGTATTTTCCGAAGGTACGAAAGGTAAGTGAAGCTACGAGCAAGGACGCGCGACTTGTACGATAATTTGCATAAATTGCGCATTTCCGAAGTTTGAAATGCCATTTCGTGTACGAGGCCGACGATAAAACTGTAAATCTAATCTGCTGGCAAATTCAACGTCGAAAAGTCACGCCTGTGAAATAGATAGTCGACGCGAAACGTCGGGATTCGCGTTTGCGAGTTGTGTGTAAAAAGCAACAACTTAAAATAAACGCGAGTTCTTCCAACAAATTATTGACCAGAACTTCTTATCGGGAAATTTCTGGGTACGTGGCCGTCCTATCGTGTATGCACGTTGTGCACGCCAGTAATTATCAGCGATAATACCGCCGTACATAGAAAATAAATATGAATATGGCATGTCTGAGCGCACAGGTGGACATCGTTCGCCACTTGTCCACGCACCCTTCTTATACATTCTTCCACAATTCAAGAAGCTCCTGAATAACGCTGAATAAGATCTATCGAGCCATTGGCCTATCATACGGTAAGCTCGAATAATCGCCACGCGATTGTCTTCAAAAAGTAACACGTTTGCCTTTATAATTAAGTCTCTCAAGACCTTTGAACGGATAGATTATAACGCAAATTAGCTTCGTTAGATTTCAGTCTGCGGCTCATATTTCGTCGGAAAGTAAAAACTCAACCGTGAGTATATTTGTTTGCAATATATTACACGTTGACGCTGTTCGAGTTACAATGTAATATGTTACCATGTGTAATGATAATTATTTTATGAGCGACGGTAATATAGATTCAAGTACGATACGTAAGATATAACAGCCTATTGGATAATCAGCTTTATTTTACTTTACAAAAATAGTAGCTATTGTTGCAATAATAACTCGAACCTGATTGTGATACAACTACAGAAAAGTGCGCAAAAAAATATTGTGTTTATTCCACATATTTTACGGATCAGTTCTCACGTCGCTCGACACACGAAGAAACAGCCACGTCATAAAATAGACCACGCAGTAATCAACCCGATCCATCGATCCCAACGATCAACAAACTTTTCATTTCAAAGTTTGTTCGTTCGGCTCGAGTTATCAGGTTGAAATGATCACTGACGAGTATCTAATTAATTACGCGGAAATGAGCTAGTCATGATTCCGTATCTTGGATATCTTTGCCAAGATGACTTCGATAGGCCAACGAAATCTGCTGCAATTCTGCATCTGTAGGCGTGTAAGAAGCGTAAGTTCTCAGACGTGCTCTAGACATCTCCAAATCCTGTAAGTTCCCAATTTTATTTAAAATCTATTAGTTGGTATATGATATTCTTTACGTGTATATATATATATATGTATGTAAGAAATATTATATACCAATATATATTGTGTATATATATACTATATATATATCACGCAATACATATGTACAATAAATATCTCATTTCATCATATTTTGAAATATCAATTCTTTAAATTAAAAAATTTTAATGATAGTCTACAGTAAAAAATATTAAATAAAATTAATTTTAGGCAATTTATAATTCATGTCAAATTTTTCAAAATTGAATCTATTTATAACGTTAAACAATTTTATGTACTATAACGTATAATAAATCAACCTGACTAAGACTCCTTATAAATCAAAAAACAATGAAAGAACAAGGGCAGTAGGAGTTTTTTTTTTTTTATGTACTATGTATTTTAATATGCATATGTATGTGTATATTTTGATTATTTTTGTATTATATGTAACATAAAATTATAACTAGAATTCTATTCTGAATATAGGCTATTTATAAAATGACTTTATGACAAACTTCCTTCCAATTGTAAAAAATTGTAACAAAACGATAGATAACATTGAGTAACATGTGATCTTATCAGTAAAATTACTTCAAAGTAGGCAGCTTGTCTAACATAGAGAGTTTGCACGTTCTATATTCAATATAATACACTGAATTTTGCTTTTAATATTTTTTTTCATATCATTTTATCCAAAAAATATGCTATAGCAAACCTTTAGAAGAGCCTGATTGCGAATATGAGATTTTTCCAAATTTAAAGGCAGATTTGTTGGCGATGAGTCAGAAACTTTGAAAATATTCCTATTGCGAATCTCGCGACGTAATTTATTGCTGCGAAATAAAATGAAAAATAATCATTTTTTTGTTGATCAGGAAAATGTTATACACATGCATGTATTCCTACGTTAGCAAATAATATTAGCAAATAATAAATTTCATAAGAAACGTGTAATGTACCGCTCTTCTATTTCTCGTTCAAATTGCTGTTCTTTTTGCAGGTATTCATCAAAAACACTTCCAATATCAATATTGTTGCTCTTTGTCATTTCACAAAATCGTTGCAGTCCACTATATGCGAGTATAATTGTCGATGACAATTAATGTTTTTAAAATTGACTTAAATTATTTTAATTGAGGAACACAGAAAAAAGAAGAAAAATGTATGTTTACTAATACTAGAGTATAAATTGCATGGTTTCCACGGTAACGCGTTACTGGCATAACACAATGTTCTTCGATACATCTAAAAACGATCAATATTTGTGTATGAACTATTGTGAACTATGACGCATAGTAATGTGATTACTATCATTTAATGAGTGTCTGTTAAAAATTTGCAATATTATATAATAATCTTGGAATGTTTTAATTTAGAATACAATAATAAAATACTT